TTCTTCTTGATTCGGATGTACGTTTCTTTTAGACAAGAAGTTTCAAAAGGCGGTTTCCCCACCAGCAGAGTGTACCTGCACGTTTACAGACAAAAGGGTGTCAGTTTTGCAAAAGAGACTCTGAGACTTACGTGCAGAAGTGACCCCGTCCTAAGCACACCCTAGGACTTTCCTGGCAGAGGGAACACGCTTGGCACTGGACGTGCAGTAGCGCAGACAGCTATGTGTACTGTGCCTGGTTCCTGCTCTGAAAAGGGAAGCTGGGATCCAGTACCCTCTGGGGAAAGTTCCAGTTAGGAAATGTGGGCTTTTGGGAAACGCCCCGAGGCAGCCATGCCGTGCAGCAGATCAGCCTGCAGACACACACACCAGCGTGTGCAGAGGGGGGGGGGTCACGTGCTGGCTGGCAGCGGGGCTCAGCCAGGGCAGGTGCTCTGGAGACAGCACGCCCAAAACCTCAGCTCACACCGAAACCCAGAGGGTCCAACGAGACCTGGACCACAGGGACCGCCCAGCCCCACGTCCAGCCCGCGGCACGGCCGCACAGAGACTCACATGATGCAGCCGATGGACCAGATATCCACCTCAAAGCTGTGCCCCTTCTTGCCCAGCACCTCTGGGGCAATGTAGTTGGGGGTCCCACACAGGGTCTTCTTGCGCTCGCCATCATACTCCACTTTGGTGGCCAGGCCAAAGTCACCTAGGAGAGACGGGGTATGACCGGAGAGGCCCCGGACGGCTGGTCCCCAGGGCTCGGGACCCTGCCGTGGGGCAGCCACGGGGGGCTGGCAGGGCATCACGTCACGGTCACCTACCGATCTTCACCTCCATGTCGTCGCTGAGGAAGAGGTTGCCCAGCTTGAGGTCCCGGTGAATGACGCGGTGGCTGTGCAGGTACTGGCAGCCCAGGATGGTCTGGCGCAGGTAGTACCGCACCTCGGGCTCGCTCAGCGCCTTCCGCCGCTTGTGCAGCTCCAGCAGCGACTGCGGGGGACAGTCAGCAA